TGTGAAGCTATTGACCGACACAAAGGGGACTGGAGATGATTTCATAAATGAAGTTGCTAGCATTTGTCGAACTTCCCACGTGAACATAGTTACTCTTGTAGGGTTCTGTTACCAGAAGAAAAGAGCTTTGGTCTATGAATTCATGCCTAATGGATCGTTAGACAAGTACATAGGCAACAAGGGGTTACAAAATATGAGTTGTCTGGCGTGGAAGACATTGTACCAGATTGCAATTGGCATTGGTCGAGGACTAGAATATCTGCACAAAGGGTGTAAAACAAGAATCATGCACTTTGACATTAAGCCTAATAACATTCTGTTGGACAAGGATTTCACCCCCAAAATCTCAGATTTCGGCCTGGCAAAATTGTGCAAGAAAGAGGGGAGCATTGTATCGCTATCAGAATGTGGTGTTAGAGGAACAATAGGATACATTGCTCCAGAAGTTATCTTCGGAAGCATTGGAAATGTCTCACACAAGTCTGATGTTTATAGTTATGGCATGACAGTTATCGACATGGTGGGAGTAAGGGAGAACATACACGCGGCTCAGACAAGTGACTTATATTTCCCGAATTAGATATATGAGCATCTGGAGCAAGGGTTAGATTTCAGTCTTGAAGGCATCATAGACGAGGAGGATAAAGAAATGGCAATGAAGATGATATTGGTTAGTTTGTGGTGCATCCAGACGAATCCAGCAGACCGCCCTTCCATAAGAAAAGTGGTAGAGATGTTGGAGGGAAGCGTCGACTCCTTGCAGATTCCACCAAAACCACATTTCTGTCCTCCAACTGATGAGTTTTCTCAGCAGTCCTCTACATCATCAGTTACCACAGAAATCTGAGGAAGGAAAGGGTCCATAATGTATCAAATGAGGACTTTAAGTATGGGATCTTATGACATATAGTATCTAAATACTGCCAACCTGCTGTTTTGAACAGAGTAAAAATAGTGTTTTGTCATGTAAGAACAAATTTGATTAATATTCTCTCATACAGAGTATTAGAGCTGAAATATCCATTAAATAATGAAACCATGTAATATAATCTTTTTTAATTAACAGAGTACAATATGTAGATACTGTTGTCTCGTGATCAGTATGCATGGGTAGTCTTAGTATAGTTGTGTAGGTATGGTAATGATTAGGTTATGGTATGTTAAATGAGGAGAGCATTGGGTAACTACGGAGGAGCTGTTAGCTGATAGCTAGCCCTGTGCATTGAACGGATCGGATCGGATATGTAATCCGTCCATCCAATCGAATTTCGGATTGCATTTTACTGATTCAATTCGTTATTTGTTTGTACTTAAAATTGGATATGCTAAATCGGATATCGGATTTTACGGATCGGATTTCGGATTTCAGATTTCATTCGGATTCAAAAAGTCATTAAGAATTGAATAACTGAAACAAAATATTACTTTAATTTAAAATACTGTTATACTCTAAGTCTCCATTAACAAAATAAGTAAATAACTAATAAGTAAACAAAATAAAACAAGCAACAACTTAATAATTTTCAGAGTTAAATAACTTAAACATCCAACATATAATAATTTTCAAAGTAGGATTGTTCAAATTTGTCATATAACCTTTTAATGCATTTTTGCCGCCCGTACCATGCCTTTCTGTATAGACGTATGGTATATGGTTAGAACATTTTTAACTTGTGAAACCTCATTCCGGCCTTGAGCACATTTGTTTTCGGGTCGTACAATAATGTTGATTCATTGTCGTCATTTTGACCATAGAAGGTATTAAATGAAACTAGAGCATGGTAGTAAGGAATTTCATAATTGTCAAACCCTTTTTCCTCACCATCGCTCATCTTCAAAACTCGTTTCACGTGCTTCCTGAAATAACTCAATGTCGAATGAAAAGTGGTCATTTGTATCTTCTCCATCCTAACTATCTGAACTTTGTGAGAGTATCTATTTAGGCTCTGATTCCGTACTCTCCGATGATTCAATTGGGTGAGATGTTGTTGGCAAATACGTGCTACCAGAAGTGTCTCCACTACTAACATGATGTTGGGCGATTGAAGCACCAAAATTACTAAAATCTGCATACTCTTCATATGCACCAAAGGCTATAGGATTTGGAATTTAATTGTGCCGCAACATTTACTTTTGGGGCAACATAAACATGTAATTCACGAAACTGGATGTTTGTTTTACGAAGTATTGCCACTCTTCCGGCATTGCAATAAGGTATGCACTATGGGTAGGACCCATTGGAGTGTCGAAGATCAATCTTCCGGTTATTTTTACACCTTGTTCAGATCTTAGACCCATTGCATATCGTATCATAAGTACTACGACATCAAATCCATTATGTACATCAAGTGGAATGACAGTTTGTGCAGGACTTGTATAATAGAGTTGGGTGGGGGAGGGGGGCATTGCAAACTGACATATTTGACCACCCAAAAAACGTACAATGGATATGAGCAGATACTACATTGTAATAAATTCATTACCATTACCCTGATTACAATTACCATTCTTATTGGAACCAAACACCCCATAATCTAGGCCAAACAATAAGGCAAATTATGTTGTGCACACGGATGCAAAAACGGCGTCGTTTTACTTAAATAAAAAAAATCATTTTCGATTGCCGTTAGTTACGTAAACATATGTTCATAATTTTATAATTTCACATTCTGGATTTATAGTTATCAAATTATGGATGTGTAGTTATGCAATTCTAGATTTATAGTTATGAAGTTATGGATGTGTAATTATGCATGCAATTCTGAATGTATAGTTATGAAGTTAAAATTTCACATTTTGAATGTATATTTATGAAGTTATGGATGTGTAGTTATGCATGCAATTCTGAATGTATAGTTATAAAGTTAGGGATGTGTTCGTAGTTATACAATTCTGGATTTATAGTTATGAAGTTATGGATGTGTAGTTATACAATTCTAGATGTATAGTTATGAAGTTATGGATGTGTAGCTATGCAATCCTGGATGTATAGTTATGAAGTTATGGATGTGTAGCTATGCAATCCTGGATGTATAGTTATGAAGTTATGGATGTGTAGTTATGCAATTCTGAAATTTATTTATTTTTTTCAAGTCGGACGTCAAAACGACGTCATTTTTGCAACCGTGTGCACCATTCATGGTGCATAACACTCCATACAATAAAATATTGGCCTAGCTAGACCTGATGCATAGCCCAAAATATGTTTATTTTTTTTAAACATTTAATTTTTTTTATTCAATTTCTTTAGTTTTGACTTATTACATTTTTATATATTTATATAGGGAAAATGGCACTTTTTCCCCCTAGTTATATACTTATAGTCATTTTCCCCCCTCACTTATTTAGGTAAGCACATTAGCCCCCTCAATTATTTTAAAAGTGGTGATTTTTCCCCCTGATATATTAAATTGACATTTCTACCCTTAAAGTAAACATTTTATTTATTTTACTTCTCCAACAAATTATCGCGTATACGTAGGGATGACCACGGTTCAGATCAAACTGAACCGGACACTATAGCAATTGAATTAAAAGTTTCCGGTTATGATTCAGATCTAGAACCTAATATTTGGATTTCAATTTATTAAAATTATGAATAAAAAAAATTGGATCTTGAACCGTGAATCGGCGGTTCTGGATCCGGTTCGCGATTTTGAACCGTCTTTATTTTAAAATTTTATTTTTTATTTTAAATAGTCTAAATTCAACAATAAATGTATTTTATTTTTTCAGTTCGGAACATGAATCATCCGTTCCGGTTCGCGATTTTAATAAACTCTAAATATCGAGTTTCGATTCTAAATTGTAATTGGAATATTTCGGTTTGATTGCTATAGTGTTTGTTTGGTTTGAACCAAATTATTGTCATAATTTGTTGGAGAATGAAAATAAATGAAATATTTATTTTAAGAGTAAATATGTCCATTTAACATTTTAGGGGGAAAAACAACCACTTGAATAATTGAGGGGGAGAAAGTGCTATAAGTATATAACTTAGGGGGAAGAAGTGCCATTTTCCCATTTATATATTTTGATTTCAATTTCTATTTACTATCAAACAAAAAGACTTCTCTTAAATTCATTACCACTACCCTGATTACAATTACCCTTCTTATTGGAACCAAACACCCCATAATCTATAATAATAAGGAATAAGGATCAAATAGGCCATCGAACTGCACACAACACAATAATACAATTAGGCCACTGAACCTAAAAAAACAACAATTAGATCCTTAAACTAACTATTTTCTTGCAATAAGTCTAATTTGTAAGTTTTCTAAGTTGCTAGCAGGTCACCTTTAATTTAAAATATTTATTTAAAAATTTTTAAAAACAATAAAACAGATCGTCTCCGGCCATGGATTCGTCTCCATGGCCGGAGACGTCTTCGTCTCTGGCCGGCGACGAAGATAACTTCTTCGTCTCCGGCCGGCCAAAGACGAAGAGGTCTCCGGCCATGGAGACGAATCCATGGCCGGAGATGATCTTTTTTTTTTTTTAATTTTAAATAATTATTTTTAAAAATATTTTAAATTTAAAAAAAAATTAAATTAAAGGTGACCTGCTACCAACCTAAAAAACTTACAAATTAGACTAAATTGAAAGAAAATGGTTAGTCTAGGGATCTAATTGTTTCTTTTTTAGGTTCGCTGGCCTAATTGCATTATTGTGTGCAGTTCGATGGCCTATTTGACCATTATATGTAATAATAATAATAATAATAATAATAAATAGAGATTGGACTTGTCAAAAGGGATATGTTAACGTTTGTTAGGGGAAAAAGTAGAGCCTGTGTGAAGAGAAACGCTGGCAGCTTGACCAGATTAGTACTGTAATTGAGGTAATTTGGCTTGATTGGCGTCTGGCAGACTGGCATTATATTGACCTCTGATCTACTCCAAGTCAAGAAATAAAGATCCTCAGCAGTTTGGCCTTGAAGTTGACACTATGCAGCATTTATCATTATGGATGGTTTCTTGGTCTGAGCCAGAAATATGGATTCCAATCCTAGTCTTAATTCATTGCTCTCAATCATTATAACCCTCATCTTGGTCCAGGCGCCGGCGGCAACTTTCTGTCAAAATAATGAGTATGTGAGCTGCGGTGACTCATTCAGCTGCGCCAATATAGAAAACATAGGCTACCCTTTCTGGGGAGGAAGCCGCCCGGCCTACTGCGGCCACCCGGCTTTTGAGCTGAACTGCAGTAATGAGTTCCCAGAAATCGCTATCCGATCAGTACAGTACAGAATTTTCAATATTAGCAACCAGTCACAGACTGCCAAAATTGCCAGAAATGATCTGTTAAACAATATATGTCCCTGGCATCCTCAAAACGCATCCTTGGACTTCAACCTCTTCAACTACGTTCCCTCTGGCGATCAGAACATCAGTCTGTTCTACGGTTGCAGCACCGTCGAAAAGCCTGCTCTCAACTGCAGTGAACCCAATAATTCCACCTTCCTCTGCAACAACGAAAACCCTCCCCCCGTCGTTGATCCATCTCGTGATTCTGGTCCAACTTCCCACCTCTTCAACTGCACTGAATCGAATGGCGGCAATTCCAGCCATTGCAATATCATTATTAAAAACCAAGCGTCCTTTGCTTCGATTCCCCATATCTTCAACTGCAGTGAAGGCAATTCCAGCTTCGGTGTGTATGGCCTCGGAATAGGATCATTGGACAATGTAAGGTGCGGGATTCGGGTCGTTGTTACTGTCACTCAAGGAGCTTTTGAGGCTTTAGGTAATGCTTCAGAGGAGTTGATAAGAACATCCATGGCGAGCGGTTTTGCTGTGGAGTGGAAAGTAAATAATAGCTTATGCGAGGAGAGCATGAGGTCAGGGGGACGATGCGGCTCCAATGCCAATCTCATTTCAACACAATTTGTTTGCTACTGTGCCAATCCAACTTTTTCATCCACCTGCACCAACATTCGCAGTCACACTAATGGTGGTAACAATGGTATGCTCCCTGCCCTTTTCATTGTCCTTAGCTTCCTTATCTCTTTACTTACTCTTTCACCTCAGTATAAAAATTTCATTAATTTTGCAAATTCAAAAGTTTCTCCAATAGTCAGTCTGTGATTTTGATTGAGTTTTTGAATCCAGAACATAGAAATTAATAATCTTCAATATCAACAATGGATTTACAGAATGTATTTCCTCTTGCAGAATCTAAAAATGGGCTTAGCATTGGTGTGAAACTTGGTCTAGGTAAAGTAACCACCTTTCCTTCACATCATTTTTTGTTAATATGATGCTCTGACCTTCTTTAATTTCAACCTTTATATGCAGTTGCCATGTTTGGCTTACTGGGAGTAGTGCTAACTTCAATGCTTATAATCTGCTTCTTCAAAAGGAGAAGTTCCTGGAGAAAGGGAGACAAAATAAAAGAAAAGAACATAGTTACTCTTGTAGAGTTCTGTTATCAAAAGAAAAGAGCTTTGGTCTATAGATTCATGCCTAATGGATCATTAGACAAGTACATAGGCAACAAGGGGTCCCAAAATAAGAGTTATTGTCAGTTGGAGTGGAAGACATTGTACCAGATTGCAATTCGCATTGCTCGAGGACTAGAATATCTGCACTGAGGGTGTAACACAAGAATCATGCACTTTGACATTAAACCTAACAACATTCTTTTGGACAAGGATTTCACCCCCAAAATCTCAGATTTCAGCCTGGCAAAACTGTGCAAGAAAACGGAGAGCGTTGTATCACTATCAGTGTGCGGAGCAAGAGGAACAATAGGATACATTGCTCCAGAAGTTGTCTTCAGAAGCATTGGAAGTGTGTCACACAAATCCGATGTTTATAGTTATGGCATGACGGTTATTGACATGGTGGGAGTAAGGGAGAATGTACACGCGGCTCAGACGAGTGACTTATATTTCCCGAATTGGATATATGAGCATCTGGAGCAAGGATTAGATTTCAGTCTTGAAGGCATCAGAGATGAGGAGGATAAAGAAATGGCAATGAAGATGATGTTGGTTAGTTTGTGGTGCATCCAAACCAATCCAGCAGACCGCCCTTCCATAAGAAGAGTGGTGGAGATGTTGGAGGGAAGCATTGAGTCCTTGGAGATTCCACCTAAACCATTTTTCTGTCCTCCAATTCATGACTCACTTCACCCGTCCCCTACATCATCAGTTACCACAGAAATCTTATCTGAGGCAAAACATTTTTATTATATAAAACTATGAATAGGTTAAAAGATCAACACTGTCTACTACTTAACAAACAAATTAATGTGTACCCCAAAAAAAAATATAATATCCACATTTTAATGCCTACATTGACTAGTATTGATAACTTAAGTCAAGAAATGACGTTTCTCATCAGTTAAGCAAAGTTTCATGATCAGAATTCAGAGCTAGGCAGATAGCCAATTAACCTCAGATCCCAAAGAAATATGGATTCTTCCAACCCCATCTGTCCAGCCTTGTTTGTGTTCATCATCTTGTTAATCCAAACGCCGGTAACTTTGTGTCAAAATAGTGAGTTTGAGACCTGCGGTGAGGCATTCAGCTGCGCCAATATTGAAAACGTAGGCTACCCTTTCTGGGGAGGGAGCCTGCCGGCCTACTGCGGCCATCCAAGCTTTGAGCTGGACTGCAGTAAAGACTTGCCGGAGATTACAATCCAATCGGTGAAATACAGAGTTGTTAATATCAGCAACTGGCCGGCGCAGACGGCCACTATCGCCAGAGAGGATTTGACAAGCAATATTTGTCCCTCCAATCCTCGGAACGCATCCTTGGACTTCAACCTCTTCAGCTACGTTTCTTCTGGAGCCGACAAGAACATCTCCTTGTTCTACGGTTGCACCATCACAACCTTAACCCGGGTTCCATTGGTTTCCAACCTCTTCAACTGCAGTGAAGCGAATTCCAACTCGACCGGAAATGGCCTCTGGTCGCCCAGTACTGCAGGATTGCCCAATAATAACATCAAGTGTGGGTTTGAGATCTTTGTTACTGTGACTCGAGAAGCTTTTGAGGCTTTAGGTAATGCTTCCCGGCTTGCTTCGGAGGAGGTCATGAGAACATCGGTTGGTGGTGGTTTTGCTGTGGAGTGGAAAGCAAATAATAGCTTATGCGAGGAGTGTAGAAACTCAGGGGGAATATGCGGTTCCAATGCCAATCACATTTCAACACAATTTGTTTGCTATTATGGTATTCCTTTTCCTTCTCCCTTTTCTATCACATTGGGTTATAGAAATTTTGGTTAACTTTCCTACATACTAAAAACACTTGGAAATTTTTTCTTAAAATAACTAGCTATTTTGTGGTATAAATTTAATTTTAGTTGGATCAACTTCTAATTTTTTTTTTTTTTGGGTTGACAAAGAAAACCCATAGCCACTATGTGAGAGTAGGCATGGGTAAACTCGCCCTGTAACCCTAGCCAACAAAGAACCACAAGGTCCATATGGGTTTAGCTCACAACTGGTTTAGTATGCAGTATTTGAGAGAAGAGACCAATGTTCAACCTTTGCAATGGCAGTGCGAGAATTATGCTCAAAGTGGACAGATCCCTTGTGCACATCAGCATTTGGCACTGTATACTGAGTCATTGAGTCACCGTGAATTACATCCTTCCAAATGCTCTGTCGGGCTGGGGTGTTGGGGGCCATTGGGGTTGGGGATTCAACCTTTTGGGAGAAACAAAGTACCACAAGCAAGTAAACCAGTCTAAGTTGCGCATAGCTGATCGGTCCAAACCAAAAGGGTTGGATTCAAACTCGTGACTTTGTGGTTACAAGTTTGTATCCTTAGTCATCTTGGTTAGGGTTATCCTTGGATCAACTTCTAATTTGGATCGGGTCGATGTGAACTCGAGTTCTTCTAATTGAGATGTTTAATTTTGATGTATTATACGCACAAATGAAAAATGGTTGAATGATAAATTGATTCTCAAAGTGTACATATTTGAGTTAGAAAAATAGAATTGAGAATGCTAAGTAACTTTTGTCAAAAATGAATGGGGGCTTAGTGGCTTACATTATTATATATACAATTGCACTTTTTTAATGATTTGAATTGTACAACATAAACTTCTGTCATCTTCCTTGACTACATATAGTCTTTTGAGGACCTGGACGCAAATAATGCCCAAATTATTTCTTTAATAATTTAGACTATTCCTAATCTCAAGTAGCGATAATATTTATTTGTATTTTGATTCTTTTTCCATGTAGTGAAAGTGATCATTGTGCATAACTGTAACCCAATTCATATTTTAAACAGTCATTAATAAACGCAATAAGTTTAAACTAAATTAATTAAGGATAAAAAGTAAATATTTTATAATGTTTTGTGCTACGGGCCAGCCAAACGGATTCTTAAACATTGGGGGTGTTTGGCAAATGATAATAGTTGATTAAGTTAATTGATAGTGGATTGAATTAGCTGGTTTGACCAATAACTCATGTATTAATTAGCTTGTAAAACAGTGTATGGTAAATTTATTGTTACTTTTAGTTGATTGTATGTAAAATGACTTATAAGGACATAGACATATTGTGCTAATTTATTAAATCTTAAATTACTTTTATAATTATTTATTATTATTAATATTATTATTATTATTATTAATATTATTATTATTATTATTATTATTATTATTATTATTATTATTATTATTATTATTTGCACCCGTGCGATGCACGGTCATAAATAATAATAATTTAATTAAACAATAACATAATAATAATAATAATAATAATAATAATAATAATAATAATAATAATAATAATAATAATAATAAAATGAAGAAAATTTATCTATAGCAAATTATTTAATAACAATTAACATTGAAATTGTATTACACGTTATTGAAAAAAAAAAAATTGTATACAACATTTTTAGTTGTATTCAAAGATTGTCCATTAAAACAAAATTTTTAATCACATTGAATTACTTACTCTTCAAAGTGCTATGTACATTTTTTATTTTACCATGATTAAAGACAAATTTTCTCAAAACAAACCCACGTGCGATACAGAAAAATGCTAAATATAGTATAAAAATTACTATGTATATGAATTTAATTCATGAAAGTTCATACAATAATGCTAAATATAGTATAAAAATATATGAATATAATTCATATTATTTTCTATATGAATATATATATATATATATATATATATATATATATATATATATATATATATATATATATATATATATATGGATTAATATTTGATGCACCGTCGGTGTATAGATGCTATACACCGGCGGTGGAATGAGGAGATGACACATCATTAAAAATAAATTCAATATTAATCACGTCCTTTTTTGTAAAATATCTAAAATTTATATTATTATTTTTTAGGAAACTCTTTTATTTCTAATAACAAAATATATCTACTTTCCTAAATATATTTATTACTTAATTATTATATATATCTAATTATCTGTACTCAAAAATATATATCTAATTATTAATAGGATTAATAATAATAACAATGCACTGCTGAAACCTTCGAATTAACCATGTAAATAAATTTCCTATTGTTAATTCTAATATAAAAATAAATTCCTATTGTTCATTCTATTGAAATTTAAAAATAAATTTATCTTTGGACACTAAAATTAAAGAATTCTTAATTAAAAATTGTAATTGATATATAAAAATAAATTTCTAAATTATTATATTTATAATTACGAATTTTTGAATTTTAATTAACAAAAACCATTGGATTTCCTATATCTATCTTTAACTCTTAAATATATTTAAACCTCTAAACTCCTAAATTTATGTGGAATACTAAATTTAATGAACGATGTGGAACACTATTTGGCATAACATACATTTAATGAATGATGTGTATCTATTTTCATATGATTTTATTTTTATTTTTATTTTGCATAACATTTTTAACATGTATTTCCTCTTGCAGAATCTAAAGAAGGGCTTAGCACTGGTGTGAATATTCCTTTTGGTAAAGTAACCATCTTTAATTTCCATACAAAACATTTTGGCTTGTTTGGTGAACTATAAGTATACAGAATATAATTAAAATAATTTCTTCCTGATCAAGCGTGAGATCGAGCCACTACTGATTTGTGTATTACTGTTTTGCATAACATTTTAACATATATAATTAGATGTGCTACCAGCATTTACATTTAGAATGTAACCCTAATTTCAACCTTTATATATATGCAGGCTATCTGCTTGGCATATTCGGAATAATACTAACTTCAATGTTTATATGTTGCTGCTGCTGCAAAAGGAAGAGTGATGAAAGCCTAGAAAAAATTGAAGCATTCATAAGGACTAATGGATGCAATGCTACCAAGGTATATACTTATTTGGATATAAAGAAAATGACCAATTCATTCAAAGACAAAATAGGCGAAGGAGGTTTTGGTAGTGTATACAAAGGAAAACTGCCTGATGGATGCCCGGTAGCTGTGAAGCTATTGACCGACACAAAGGGGACTGGAGAAGATTTCATAAATGAAGTTGCTAGCATTAGTCGAACTTCCCATGTGAACATTGTTATTCTTATGGGGTTCTGTTACCAGAAGAAAAGAGCTTTGGTCTATGAATTCATGCCTAATGGATCATTAGACAAGTACATAGGCAACAAGGGGTCACAAAATATGAGTTGTCTGGAGTGGAAGACGTTGTACCATATTGCAATTGGCATTGCTCGAGGACTAGAATATCTGCACAGAGGGTGTAACACAAGAATCATGCACTTCGACATTAAGCCTAACAACATTCTTTTGGACAAGGATTTCACCCCCAAAATCTCTGATTTCGGCCTGGCAAAACTGTGCAAGAAAGAGCAGAGCATTGTATCGCTATCAGCGTGTGGTGTTAGAGGAACAATAGGATACATTGCTCCAGAAGTTATCTTCGGAAGCATTGGAAATGTCTCACACAAGTCCGATGTTTATAGTTATGGAATGACGGTTATTAACATGGTGGGAGTAAGGGAGAACGTAAACGCGGCTCAAACGAGTGACTTATATTTCCCGAATTGGATATATGAGCATCTGGAGCAAGGATTAGATTTCAGTCTTGAAGGCATCAGAGATGAGGAGGATAAAGAAATGGCAATGAAGATGATATTGGTTAGTTTGTGGTGCATCCAAACAAATCCAGCAGACCGCCCTTCCATAAGAAGAGTGGTGGAGATGTTGGAGGGAAGCATTGCCTCCTTGCAGATTCCACCCAAACCGGTTTTCTGTCCTCCAACCGAGTTCCCTCAGCTGTTCTCTACATCATCATCAGTTACCACAGAAATTTGATGCAAGAAAGGGTCCATAATGTATCAAATGAGGATTTTAAGTTTGGGATCTTATGACATAATATCTAAATATACTGCCAACCTGCTGTTTTCAACAAAGTAAAAATGGTGTTTTGTCATGCAAGAACAAATTTGATAAATATTCATAACTCTCATACAGAGTATTAGAGCTGAAATCATCCATTAAATAACGAAACCGTGTAATATTTTTTTTTTTTTAATTAACGGAGTACAATATGTAGATATTGTTGTCTCCTGATCAGTATGGCTAGTCTTAGTATAATTGTGTAGGTATAATAATGATTAGGTTATGGTATGTTAATGATGTGTTTGAAAATCTAAAAAATGACTTCTGGAAAATGAGTCATTTTAAAAAAAATATTTTTTTCTCTAGTGTTTGGTTGAATTTCATAAAATTGTCTTAGTGTGTTTGGATCATTTTCTAGAAAATGAGCAGAATTGTATTAAAAAAATCAATATTGTTATATATATATATATATATATATATATATATATATATATATATATATATATATATATATATATATACATATATATATATATTTTAAAAAAAAGCAATGGTTTCATTAAAAAAAAAAAAATGATTTCCGAAGCTAGAAACCAGATAATCTGCTTTCTGGCTTCAAAAACCAAAAACACTTTTGGTTTCCAACGGAAACCAGAGGAGAACTAGATTTGGTTCTCCACGAAAAATAACGAAGAAGATGGAGAATAGGTAAAAAATTGCTTTGGGTTTTCCAGAAAATGACTTCCCCAGAAAAGACTCATTTTCAACCAAAAAAAAAAAAAGTAAATGAATTTGTTTTCTCTTGGATTGAAAATCAATTTCCGTTGACCATCATTTTTCCCCTCCTTGTCAAACATTAAAAATCCGGAAAATATTTCTGGGTTCCAAACACAACCAATGAGAAGGAGAGCAGAAGTAAATAGATTGTGGTGATCAGGAAAAGCTGAATTGTAGGGTGGAGTTTATGCATTTATTCAAATAGGTGGAAGAGACCAAACAGATCAATTAACTAGCCAAATTAGCTTAGTCAGACACTCAGATTAATTAAATACAAGGAAAATGGCATGTTGAACGACATTCGGATCATTGCATATATATACTATGTTATTCTATTCCATGTAATTAATACAATGGGATGATGTATCATATTTATATAGGGATGAGATCTCGTGAAAACACTTGTCCAAGTAAAAATTATGGACTAATCTCAGCCGTTAATATAGAGAGGAATAAGGGTCAAATAGGCCATCGAACTGCACACGATAATGCAATTAGGTCACTGAACCAAAAAAATCAATAATTAGGTCCCTAAACTAACCAAGTAACCAATTTCAAACAATTCTTCCAATTTCAAAATTTCCAACAGGTCAACAGGTCATCCTCCCAAATTAATTATTTTTACAAAAATAAATTTAAAAAAATAATTATTTTTAAATTTAAAAAAAAAAAAAAAAAAAAAAAAAAAAAAAAAAAACAGACTCCCTGGAGACGAAGAGTTTCTTTGTCTCCAGCCATGGAGAAGAAGAAACTCTTCGTCTCCATGCCCGGAGACCCGGCAGTGGAGACGAAGAAACCGGCTGGAGCCGGTCATCTCCGGCCGGTCCTGTTATTATTTTTTAAAAAAAAATTTAAATAATTAATTTTAAAAATTTATTTTTTAAAAAATGATTTATTTGGAAGGATGACCTGTTGGAAACCTTCAAATTGGGAGAATTGTTTGAAATTGGTTAGTTTAGAGACTCAATTGTTGGCTTTTTAGGTTCAGTGGCCTAATTGAATTATTGTGTGCAGTTAAATGACCTATTTGACCCTTATTCCATATAGAGATCAACAATTGTATCATTTTAGTGTTGATTAGTGTATTTTTACTAGTACAAAAAGAACAAATAAATATGAGTTCAGGCTACCATTTTTTATAGGTAATATATTGTTAAATGAAAATGTGCAATGACATAATCGTAAATAAATTTATAAGAAACTGGAACCCTTTTTAAACAAAAGATATACCATTTCTAAAAAAAATCACATTAACTTTTCACGAGAAGTAATGAACAAAAGATGTAATGGTCATGACATTTTTATCGTCATTATTGTTTTATGTTACATTTGTATATATATATATATATATATATATATATATATATACATATATATATATATATATATGTTGTATCATTATATTCAAAGGATGATGATGAATGAGAATTGTCACTTTATCTCTACATGTTTTCTTCTTCCTTTCATTAGTATCGTTTTCTGTTATGAATACTCCGATGATGGATACGAGCTTAAGGTTATGATTATAACACGAAAAAATGAGACAGAGGAAGTGGAGTATACATTGGATTATATATGCTAGTCCAGTTAAAATATGAGTCTAATTTGATTAGGTTGAAAAATAAAATATTGTAATCAAATACTTGGTAATACTAATGAGTTTAATTAAGAGAAGTCTCTTTGTTACCATTCTTATTGGAACCAAATACCCCATAATCTATAATAATAATAAAAAATTTAAAAAATTAGAGGTTAGTTGGACTTGTCAAAAGGGAAATGTTAACGCTTGTTAGGGGCAAAAGTAGAACCTGTGTGAAGAGAAACACTGGCAGCTTGACCAGATTAGTACTGTAATTGAGGTAATTTGGCTTGATTGGCGTCTGGCAGACTGGCATTATATTGACCTCTACTCCAAGTCAAGAAATAAAGATTCTCAGCAGTTTGGCCTTGAAGTTGATACTATGCAGCATCATTATGGATGGTTTCTTGGTTCGAGCCAGAAATATGGATTCCAATCCTAGTCTTAATTCATTGCTCTCAATCATTATAACCCTCATCTTGATCCAGGTGCCTGAAACTTTCTGTCAAAATAATGGTAGCAGTCCTCCTGATGAGTTTGTGAGCTGCGGTGAGTCATTCAGCTGCGCCGGTATTGAAGACTTGGGCTACCCTTTCTGGGGTAGAAGCCGGCCGGCCTACTGTGGCCACCCGGCTTTTGAGCTGAACTGCAGTAATGAGTTCCCAGAAATCGCTATCCGATCAGTACAGTACAGAATTTTCAATATTAGCAACCAGTCACAGACTGCCAAAATTGCCAGAAATGATCTGTTAAACAATATATGTCCCTGGCATCCTCAAAACGCATCCTTGGACTTCAACCTCTTCAACTACGTTCCCTCTGGCGATCAGAACATCAGTCTGTTCTACGGTTGCAGCACCGTTGTAAAGCCTGCTCTCAACTGCAGTGAACACAATTCCAGTTTCCGCTGCAACAACGAAAACCCTCCCCCTGTCGTTGATCCATCTCGTGATTCTCGTCCAACTTCCCACCTCTTCAACTGCACTGAATCGAATGGCGGCAATTCCAGCCATTGCAATATCATTATTAAAAACCAAGCGTCCTTTGCTTCGATTCCCCATATCTTCAACTGCAGTGAAGGCAATTCCAGCTTCGGTGTGTATGGCCTCGGGACGTCGCCCAGAATAAGGTGTGGGATTCAGGTCGTTGTTACTGTCACTCAAGGAGCTTTTGAGGCTTTAGGTAATGCATCCCATGCTTCAGAGGAGTTGATAAGAACATCCATGGCGGGCGGTTTTTCTGTGGAGTGGAAAGCAAATAATAGCTTGTGCCAGGAGTGCATGAGGTCAGGGGGACGATGCGGCTCCAATGCCAATCTCATTTCAACACAATTTGTTTGCTACTGTGCCAATCCAACCTTTTCATCCACCTGCACCAACATTCGCAGTCACACTAATGGTGATAACAATGGTATGCTCCCTGCCCTTTTCATTGTCCTTAGCTTCCTTATCTCTTCACTTGCTCTTTCACCTCAGTGTAAAAATTTCATTAATTTTGCAAATTCAAAAGTTTCTCGAATAGTCAGTCTGTGATTTTGATTGAGTTTTTGGCTTCAATAGGCAATTGAAGCCAAAAGGCTTGTTTGGATAGCTAAGTTCAAATGTTAAATTTACCTTGACATAAAAGGCTTGTTTAGTTAATAGCGAATCCGTCAAAATTTTGATGGATCGGCCATTTTTGACATTTTGACGTGGTCAAAACGTCAAAAAGCTAGTGTGGTAAACCAACGGTAGCAAACCGCTGAAATCTCAAATGCGGCAAAGTGCAGCTTTTGGGATTAGCCCAAAACACCCCCACCATATAAAATAAAATTAAAATAAAATAAAATAAAATATTTAAAAAAATTACATTTTTTTTTTAACTATTAACTACACAGGAGCCTTAGAGCATCCCCATTAAGAGGATTGTTCACAGTTTTTTTTTTTTTTTTAAATATCAACTTGAATGAGAGAGGGGGAAGGAGTGGGCTGCTCATGCAAAGACCAAGTTTTTTTTCAAAATTTGTGGGTCCCACCAAGAGAGAGGAAGAAGTGTGTGGGTCAGAATTTTTTCAGTCTTTTTTCAAATATTTTTCTCTCCTCACTCATATTTTGGACCTAAAAACTTGTGCTAACAACTTATCTATGGAGGATTCCCTAAGGCTCATTAAATAAAAGGCTCCTTTCGCTGCAAATTATGCTGTGGAAACGTGTTTACCATGCGCATGGTGAACACAGGGGTAGATCCATAATTTTTATACGGTAGATTCATAATTTTTTTTTTAAACGTGGATTCATAATTTTGTTTTTCATTTGTTGTTACAGATATTATGAATCTACAGTATAGAAATTATGAATCTACAGTATAGAAATTATGAAATTACATCTTAGAAATTATGGATCTATCCCGTTAACAACAAATGAAAACAAAAATTATGAAGATGAGAATTCAAAATCAAAATCAATTACAGAAAGATAGGAATACAGGAGAGTATATCTCAGTCTATTTCTAACTGTTCCTATCTAACAGGTTATTAGTAGAAGACTAGTTCTAACCATACAATAATAACTATATAGTAAAACATAACAATTAATATAACTCATACACCCCCTCAAGCTGACGGTGTTAGGGACACAACGTTGAGCTTGTCGCGGAGAGCAATAAACCTTGGCCCAGCCAGCGGTTTAGTGAGAATATCTGCAAGCTGATCCTTCGTAGAGACAAAATTAACCACAAAGTCACCACTGGCTACCTTATCACGGACAAAATGATAGTCGATTTCAACATGCTTCGTTCTGGCGTGGAAAACTGGATTTGCGCAAAGATACGTCGCTCCCAAGTTATCACACCATAAAGTAGAGGGTTGCCCTGAGTGAAGTCCTAACTCCCGAAGTAGAGAAACAACCCAAGTAACCTCAGCTGCCACATCAGCTAAGGCCTTGTATTCTGCTTCAGTCGATGAGCGTGCAACTGTCCGCTGTTTCCGGGAAAGCCAAGAAATGAGATTCGACCCAAGGAACACTGCGTACCCGCTGGTGCTCTTCCGATCTATAGGACATCCGGCCCAATCGGAGTCGGAATAAGCGTGAACAGAGGAAGTTGACGAGGGACTAAGCCGCAACCCATACTCCAGTGTGCCCTTTACATACCTTAAGACCCGCTTGACCATACCCCAATGCTCATCAGTCGGGGCATGCATAAACTGACATAACCGGTTTACAGCATATGATAAATCCGGCCGAGTGATGGTGAGATACTGTAAGGCCCCAACAATCCGACGGTACTGTGTGGGATTGTCAAACGCCTCATCTGACGGCGTGACTGGCTGAGTTGTCGAAGTAGGAGTGGCTAAGGGCTTGCAGTCAACCATACCTGCCCTATTCAAAAGATCATTCATGTAACGACGTTGTGACAAAATTACACCTTCCGGGGTATCCACTGTCTCAATTCCCAAGAAGAAGCTTGGTTTACCGAGGTCTCTGATTTTGAAAGCCGTTGCAAGACGGTGTAGCAAGGTGTTAATAAGTGTTGCACTGTTTCCCAGCATAATAATGTCATCAACGTATACTAATAAAAAGACCTGACAACCATCTGAACTGTAGTAAAAGAGGGACACATATGTTTTTGAAGCACTGAAACCCGTAGTGAGCAGAAAGTCATGAAGACGTTTAAACCACGCCCGAGGTGCCTGCTTAAGGCCATATAAGGACCTCTGCAAGTGACAGACATGATCCGGATGAGTTGGGTCTTCGTACCCCGGTGGCTGTTTCATAAATACAGTTTCAGCTAGACGCCCATTTAGGAAGGCGTTGTGAACATCTAGTTGCCGTAAGGTCCACTTGTTGGTGATAGCCAACGAAAGAAGGAGACGAACAGTTGTCGGTTTGACAACCGGGCTGAAGGTGTCGAAGAAATCTTCCCCAGCGACCTGATTGTAGCCTTTAGCCACAAGCCGTGCCTTATGCCTCTCTACTGAGCCATCAGCAGTCCGTTTGGTGCGAAACACCCACTTACACCCAATGATATTCATATCGGGCTTGGGTGGGACCAAACGCCAAGTGTCGTTATGCAGAAGGGCATTAAATTCCTAATCCATAGCATCCCTCCACTGTGGATGCCCAACAGCTTGGGAATAACAAGTTGGATCAGCTGCAATAGCCGTGAGGGCTTGAAATTCTTCATCAGTTCCATGAGTCTGATAGCGAAGACGCATGACATGAGCCCGTTCCTGTGGTTGGGTCCGACCTCGACCTCGACCCCGACCCCGTCCCCGAGTGGCTGGGACAGCGGGCTCAATAGCTAATGGTGGGGCTTCTCGAGCTATTGGACGTGGGTCTGAGTCAGGAGATAAGGGAGTGACAGGACGCACCTCTGGGTGGACCTGAACTGGCACAACGGGCCCAGATGCCCAAGGCACTGGCTGGGGTTCAACACTGCGAGGTGTCACACCTGTAACAAACGGAAAAATTGTTTCATCAAACCGCACATGGCGACAGATATAAGTTTTTCCACTAGTTAAATCCATGCATCTGTATCCTCGAAAAGAAAGAGGATACCCCAGGAAGACACACGGGGTGGAGCGAAACTCTATCTTATGCCGATTGTAAGGCCTAAGATAAGGGTAACACAGGTAAGGGTGAGCATCGGTCGGTTACGGTCAATAACCGACCGAAAACCGAAAAACCGATCACCTTTTTAACATCTCATAACCGACCGTAACCGACCGCCCTTATTCATATAACCGACCGAAACCGATTGAGTCGGTTTCGGTCGGTTATGGTGGTAACCGAATAATCGAAACTGAGATTAGAAATTCTGCAAATTATCATCAAATAAAATAATAATAAAAGTCCATACTTCATAATAAAACAAGTTAAACAACACTGCCAAGTTCACAACACTGCCAAGTTCACAAGTTCATAAAATAAGCAATTTAACATAGTTCATACTTCCAATCTGCCAAGCAATTTAACAATTAACATAGTTCATAAAATAAGCAATTTAACACTACAAGTCACAATCTGTCAATCCATGCCCAAGTGACCAAGTCATCATTCATCAATCATCAACATGTTTCCAAATTCCAAAGCCAGAGTTCATCACCTGCTTGCATCAAAAGATAATCAAAAGTGAATATATGATATATGAATATGATAATTATTAATTAATACATAATAAATAATACAGTATAGCAGTACTAACTTACACAGTCAATTATATTCTTCTTGCATCTTGTTTTTCTAATCAATCACAGGATCGAAACTCAACTTTGACATATCTAAATCATATAAAAATACAAACATTACATAAAGAAAGAACAATAAGAAAATTATAATATTTAAAATAAAGTAATGATTTTGATACTCACCCACGTCAAATTTATACATCTCTCCAACATCATGCTCAACTAAATCAGTCATTGAAATGACGTTTTCATCTCGTAACCAATCTTGAGTGCACACAAGAGCTTGTACAATTTTAGGAGTTAACGAACTCCTATAAGTATCAAGCACACGTCCACCAGTGCTAAATGCAGATTCAGATGCGACCGTTGATATAGGAACTGCCAATACATCACGAGCCATGCATGAAAGAACGGGAAATCTATGAGCATTTTCTTTCCACCAACGGAGAATATCAAATTCACCACCACCAATTTGAGTATCAAGCTCTTCATTCATGTATTTATCCAATTCATTTTTTTGCTGCCCAAGGCCAATTTCAGCCAAATACTTTTCAAAGTCACTTACAATGTTTAGTGGACTTTTCACATCCGCATTAGTTGCACTCATTGTCATTGGTTGAGTAAAATTGCTACCCTCACAATGTGAAACTTTCACCAATCCATGGTATTCCATAAACAACTTGTTAGTCACTTCTTTAAGTTTAGAAGACAACACTGAAGCTTGATCAGGTGAATACATTCTCTTGAAACAAAAATCAGCAAACACATATTTCCTTCTAGGGTCAAGCACAGTTGCAACATAAAGTATCATATTCATCCTCTCCACATTCCCCCAATATTTGTCAAATTTCTCCTTCATTCTTTTGGCCATAGCACTAAACTGTTCGTCATCACTCTTAATCCAATCACACAAAGTACAATACAATTCACAAATTTCAGGAAAGTAAACATTGCAAGTCACATATGTAGTTCCAGAAACTTTCAATGTGAATTCATAGAAACGTTGCAAAAACTTGCTCACCTTCCTAACATTTTTCCAATCCTCTTCCTTGGGTGTGCCACTATTCAACACAAGCTCATGCTTATAATTGTGGTCAATCCCTTCAAATCTCTCAAATGCTCTTTCAAATTTTTGAGCCGCATCTAACATCAAGTAAGTGGAATTCCACCTAGTGCTACAATCCATGCTCAACAAAGATTTAGATTGAATTTTTTCTAATTCTATACATTCTTTAAACCTGTGCAATCTAGCCGGTGATTGCCTCACATACTTCACCGCAGATCTAACCCGAGCAATTGATTCATTCACTTCCTTCAACCCGTCCGTGACAACCAAATTAATAATGTGTGCAACACATCTCATGTGAATAAATTTGCCCTCTAATATAGTTCCACTCACATTGTTCAATTTCCTTTTCAAGTATTGAGTAGCTACATCATTTGAACTAGCATTATCCACCGTAATTGTGAAAACCTTGTCTATTGCCCAATCACGCAAACATTTTTCAATCATCTTACCAATATCTTCACCTTTATGACTATTAATTGGACAGAAATTAATTATTCTTTTTTGCAAGCTCCAATTATTGCCAATAAAGTGACAAGTAAGACACATATAATTTTCCCTTTGCAATGATGTCCAAGTGTCAGTGGTAAGTGATACCCTAAGTGAAGACATATGGATTAACTTAGACAGCTTTTGCTTCTCCTCCAAATACATGCCATAACAATCCCTAGCAATAGTCCATCGCGATGGAACCTTAAACCTTGGACAAGCAATAGACAAACATTTTTTAAAACCCTTAAATTCAACAAACTTGAAGGGGATTTCATGATTTATAAGCATTTCAACAATACTCTTTCTAAGTGCCTCAGCACTATACTTCACACAACCTAGTGACCCTTCCCCTTCAAGCAATTCAGTTTGACTAGGGTCACTACTAGCACGGGGCATTTTCGGACAGGTTCTAACATGGGATTTTAGTGAACTAGTGCCGTTCAGTTTAGGATCAGCAAACAATTCTTTCTGACAATAATTGCATCTAGCTTTTTTCTCACTATTGTCATTATGAATTTTAGTAAAATGCTCCCATACCACAGATCTTGGTCGGCTAACCTTTCTTTTCTTAGTTTGATTTACTTCCTCATTGCCCTCAGTTCCAGCCGTTAGTGCAATCTCTAGCTCTTTTTCAACCGTATCATCATCCATATGCATCGATCTCATTGTTGACATCTATAATTTAATGAATGTAGGAAACGAGATCATTAAACATCCCTATCATATATTCATATCTTAACACTGTAACATGTAAAATTATCACAGTGAAACCTTATAACTAATTTCAAAATTATCACAGTGAAACCTTATAACTAATTTCAAAATTATCACAGTGAAACATTATCACATTCATACCAAATAACTAATTAAAGATTATAACTAATTTCAAAATCGTAACAGTGAAACCTAAACATTATAACTAATTTCCCTTATAACTAATTTCAAAATCCTAACAGTGAAACCTAAACATTATAACTAATTTCCCTTATAACTAATTACAGATTGAAGATTGAAGTAAGCAAAAATTAGAAATTAAAAGCAAGCAAAAATTATAAATTACCTTGAATCTGGAATCTGGAATCTGGATCTTGGAATTTTGGAGCCGAAAGTCCCGAAACAGTGAGAGCACAAAAAAATAGTAGAGACTGGAGAGGGCTGCGTCGAAGAAATGGAGATTTATAAAGAGATAGAAAAAAAAAATCAGTGAAATATATGAGAGGTGGAGAGAAACTCAGAAACTTACCGAGTTACCGGTGGTGACTTGGTGACGCCGTGACGGTCTGACCTTCTGACGGAGTGACGGTGAGAGGGCTGCGGTGGTAGGGGGCTAGCGGCGCTGCTCGTGCTCGACGCCTGGCCGGAGGGGGTTCGCGGACTGACGGTGAGAGGACTGGCCAGCTGCGGCTGCGGTCTGCGGAAGCCGGACTGCCGGAGAGGGTTCGCGGTCGCGTCTTCGCGATTCGCGAACGGCGATCGGGCGATGTAGAGTCGTAGAGAGAGTGAGAGACGATAGGGTTAGACGGTTAGTGACTTACAACTCAGCCAGTGAGCCCTCATTATAATTATATATTTATAATTTATAATTTATAATAAATTATTATATATACCATCGGTTATTCGGTAACCGCGGTTTTGAATGGGCTATAACCGACCAAATAACCGATTAGCCGAAAACCCGAATTTTTTTTTCTTCTTAAAACCGAAAACCGAAATTCTCGGTCGGTTCGGTTATCGGTCAACGGTTACGTCGGTTTCTCGGTATTTATGCTCACCCCTAAACACAGGCACCCGAAGACGCGTAGAAACTGATAAGGGGGTAGCTTTTTGTGTAGACAGAAATGTGGGCTTTCAAACTTTAGGGCAGAGGAAGGTAGGTAATTAATGAGACATGTGGCTGTCACGAAAGCATAGTCCCAGTATTGTTGTGGGACCGACCCTTGAGCTAGAAGAGCTAAACCCGTTTCGACAATATGTCTGTTGCGGCGTTCAACTCTCCCGTTTTGCTCGTGCGTGTAGGCACACGACTGTCGGTGATTAATCCCAAGAGATTGAAACGTAGCGTGGAGTTTGCGGTATTCACCCCCTAAATCTGATTGTATGGACTTGATAGAGCGCAAGAATTGCCACTCTACCAAAACACGAAAAACATCAAAAGTTTTATAGATGTCTGATTTTACCCTTAATGGATAAAACCAGCAATAACGTGAAAAATCATCTACAAAGAGAAGAAAATATCTAAAGCCACTAGACGAGATAACTGGTGCAGGACCCCAGATATCTGTATACAATAAGTCAAGAACATTATTACTAGAGTTATCAATTATGTCTAATGGAAAACGACATGACTTGCCAAGGTGGCAAGCCGTACATGACCCGAAACTAGAATTATTTTGTGACACTAGACAGTGCTGCAGAATTTTGTTTTGGACTAGTTTGTGTGGATGACCAAGTCTGCGATGCCAAATTGCGGGTGTTGCACGGGAACTAACGAACGCGAAATGACTCCGGGAAATGGGTAGCTTGTATAGACCTCCAGAAGTCGGGCCTTTAAGGAGCACCGCCTTGGTGCTGGAATCCTTCACAACAAAACAACTGTCATGAAATTCAAAATAAACAGAATTTTCTTTAGCGAATTTTTGTACAGATAATAGTGGGACAGTCAATTTCGGGACATGAAGAACATTAGATAGGTGTAACTGTTTAGACAAAGAGGGGATCGATGCATGGCCAACCCGTGAAATTACTAAACCTGTACCATTGCCCACTCGGAGAGTGTCCGGGCCATTATACTCCTCCGAGGACGTGAGCATTCCGACTTCGGGAGTTGCGTGGGCCGTGGCTCCCGTATCGGGATACCACGCATCAACCGGGGGTGCAGACGTGACCGGCGAGTCACCGGAGACAGCTACATGGGATTGAGGCGGTGGTTGGGTCGTGTACCGTTTGTTGCAATAAACAGCAGTATGTCCATGTGTTCTACAGATTTGGCACCGTGGAACACCACGTTGATTACGACCACCGCCGCGATTCCGGCCACCCGGGAGGGGGTTGGGTGTTTTGCGGTGGAGGATCGTGTTTAGGCTGATACCAGATGAGAATTCAAAATCAAAATCAATTACAGAAAGATAGGAATACAGGAGAGTATATCTCAGTCTATCTCTAACTGTTCCTATCTAACAGGTTATTAGTAGAAGACTAGTTCTAACCATACAATAATAACTATATAGTAAAACATAACAATTAATATAACTCATAATGAATCTACGTATTCAAAAAAAAAAAATTATGAATCTACAGTATAGAAATTATGGATCTACTCATGTGTTCATCATGTGCATGGTGAACACGTTTCCACAGCATAACTATTGTCTTTTCGCCTTCCCCCTCGGATGTGGGAACACATCAAATGGGGAAGGTTTGGGAATAGGGGAGTTGAACTCCTTTTATAGAGGAGTTCAACCCCTATTTCCCTTCTACTTTTGATGTGGTATTATTATCATTATTATTATTATTGTTGTCGTCATCGTCGTCTTGTTATAATTATTATTATTTTTATCTTGTTAGGTAGTATTATTTATTTTTATTTTATTATTACATAATAAAGTTAATAATAATATTATTATTATTGTTATGAATGTCTTTTTAGGTCTTTTTACATGTTAATCGCTAATCTAAACCACTACTTTTACCAAACATCTTTTTACAAACCGCTGATACAATCCGTTGGTCAAACCTGCTAACGCAATTCGCTATATGTGAACCGCTAACGCTAACCGCTAACCGCTGATTTGCCAAACAAGGCCAAAGTCAAAATCTGGGGTTCCTTAAAATTTCAGCTCTCTCTGAGATGTAAAGTTTCTTCTTCAAGTACATTTCAACATTTCAACCTTGTTTCTTCTTGCCCCTGAAAAATGCAATCTAATGTTCCTCCCAAATTTTTCTTCACTGCCATTACAATCTTCATATTCTTATGTCACTTGTCATAGCCCTCAGCTCTCTTCTACTGCAATTTTCCTGCCTTTCAACCAGATTGCCGTTGGCGCCCTAGCCCCATACATAACTATCCAATCCAGAACATAGAAATTAATGATCTTCAATATCAGCAATGGATATACAGAATGTAATTAACATAAAGTAACTACAGGTTTCATCCTGATCAAGTGTGTGAGGGCCACAATAGTTGTGTGTGTTATATTTAGCATAACATTTTAACATGTATTTCCTCTTGCAGAATCTAAAAAAGGGCTTAGCATTGGGGTGAAACTTGGTCTAGGTAAAGTAATCACCTTTCTTTCACATTCTTTTTGTTAATATGATTCTCTGACCTTCTTTCAACCTTTATTATATGCAGTTGCCATGTTTGGCTTACTGGGAGTAGTGCTAACTTCAATGCTTATAATCTGCTTCTTCAAAAGGAGAAGTTCCTGGAGAAAGGGAGACAAAAGAAAAGAAAATATTGAAGAATTCATAAGGACTAATGAATTCCATGCTATCAAGCTGTATACTTATTCGGATATAAAGAAAATGACTAACTCATTCAGTGACAAAATCGGTCAAGGAGGTTTTGGTAGTGTATATAGAGGAAAGTTACCTGATGGGTGCCCAGTAGCTGTGAAGCTATTGACCAACACAAAGGGTAATGGGGAAGATTTCATCAATGAAGTTGGTAGCATTAGTCGAACTTCCCACGTGAACATAGTTACTCTTGTAGGGTTCTGTTATAAGAAGAAAAGAGCTTTGGTCTATGAATTCATGCCTAATGGATCATTAGACAAGTACATAGGCAACAAAGGGTCCCAAAATAAGAATTATTGTCAGTTGGAGTGGAAGACATTGTACCAGATTGCAATTGGCATTGCTCGAGGACTAGAATATCTGCACAGAGGGTGCAACACAAGAATCATGCACTTTGACATTAAACCTAACAACATTCTTCTGGACAGGGACTTCACCCCCAAAATCTCTGATTTCGGCCTCGCAAAACTGTGCAAGAAAAAGGAGAGCGTTGTGTCTCTATCCGTGTACGGTGCTAGAGGAACCGTAGGATACATTGCTCCAGAAGTTTTCTTCAGAAGCATTGGAGGTGTCTCCCACAAGTCTGATGTTTACAGTTATGGCATGACGGTTATCGACATGGTGGGAGTAAGGGAGAACGAAGAGGCAGGTGAGACTAGTGACTCGTGTTTTCCCAATTGGATATATGAGCAGCTGGAGCAAGGCTTTAATTTCAGCCTTGAAGGCATCACAGATGAAGATGATAAAGAAATGGCAATGAAGATGATGTTGGTTAGTTTGTGGTGCATCCAAACCAATCCAGCGGACCGCCCTTCCATAAGAAGAGTGGTGGAGATGTTGGAGGGAAGCATTGAGTCCTTGCACATTCCACCGAAACCATATTTCTGTCCTCCAACTGATGAATCACCTCAGCAGTCCTCTACATCATCTGTTACCACACAAATCTGAGGCAACAAACTGTCCATAATGTATCAAATTAGGGTTTTAAGTATGGGATCTTATGACTATATCTAAATACTGCCAACCTGCTGTTTTCAACAAAGTAAAAATAGTGTTTTGTCATGTAAGAACAAATTTGATAAATATTCATAACTCTCATACAGAGTATTAGAGCTGAAATCATCCATTAAATAATGAAACCGTGTAATATAATTTTTTTTTTTTAATTAATAGAGTACAATATGTGACAATATGTAGATACTGTTGTCTCCTGGTCAGTATGGGTAGTCTTAGTATAATTGTGTAGGTATATGGGAGTGTTTGGTAAATAACGGTTAGTTGATTGGGTTAGTAGATTTAACGACTAATTGATAACATTAATTGATGGTAGAAAAATGTTTGGTAAATTAGTTGTTAGTTGATAGCGGATTATATACAAAATGACTTTTTCAAAAAGTTAATCGAAAAACAGCTTTGAGGAGCTTTTTGAATTTTAGCACTTTGCATTGGAGCAATAAGCTGTTACAAAAAGCTAATAAATCTAGGGATGGCAATGTGCCCCGTCCCCGACGGGGATCCCCGATCCCCGCCCCGAAAGAGACGGGGATGGGAAAAATTTTTAGGGAACGGAAACGGGGATGGGGAATATGTGTGATTTTCCGCCGGGGACGGGGACGGGGACGGAGATACCCCTCCCCGCCCCGTCCCCGAATAATTTTATATATATTTAAAGTACTAACAATATATATAACAATACAGTGCAAAACTGCCAATTATATATACTGTGTCAACATTCATTTTATATATATATATAGTTAGTTAGTTAGTTACTTAGTATTTTAATTTTTGAAACTAGTACTTAAATTTTAAATTTTTATTACTAAAAATTAAAATTATTTAACATTTTGACTAGGAGTTGACGGGGAATGGGGATTCCCCGACCCCGTCTAATTCCCCGCAGGGACGGGGATGGGGAACATTTCCAATTCCCCACCGGGGATGGGGAGTATACTCCCCGCCCCCGCCCCGCCCCGCCCCGTTGCCATCCCTAAATAAATTAAACACTCATATTGATTACTTAACCAAGTTAAATAGCTAATAGTGATTAAATAAACCAAAATTAGCTCAGAAGCTAACTATATTACCAAACACGACCTACTGATACCCATACTATTATAACTTACATTATCTTTTTCAACTATTGTTATCATGCACATACATCATATCTACCATATATTTTCTTATATTCTTCAAAGTAATAATATATAGACATTATATATATTGGAGTACTATATAAGTTATTTCCTAAAACTATAAATATCAAATCTATAAAAATGGTTTACATTATTATTGTTATTATTATTATTATTTACAATAATATAAATATTTAAAATTTAAATAGATTTAGGATTTTAATATAAACTATTAATATTAGACATTGAATTTTGCACATCGCGTATAAAAAATACCAGTTCGATCAATTAATACATGTATTTAATCATCAATATTAAATTTTGTTTCTCGATTTTGAAATTGAACAAAATTCAATACTTTAAAATGTTCTTTCACATCGCATATAGAAAATACCGCCAGTTCAATTAATACATGTATTTAATCAACAATATTAAATTTTGTTTCTCGATTTTGAAATTGAAATTTCTCGATCTTCAATTGAACAGAATTCAATACTTTAAAATGTGGTTCTAAACAAAAGATATTGGGTGAGGTGTCACAGTGCTTTGCCCACTGAAACACGACGTTCGATTCTTTTGCCCAATAAAATCAATAAAAAAAATAAAACAGCACAAATATTATAAAACGTGGTCGGTAGGATTCGAACCTGCGCGGGCAAAGCCCACATGATTTCTAGTCATGCCCGATAACCACTCTGGCACGACCACAATTGCGTTAGCCTTTCAACCATTATATCTTGAACAAAATAAATACCTTCTTGGAACGAATGATAATACGTTATGGTCTTATATGGAGTAACATCATTTGAATAGTTTCTTACTTCTTATAGTTTTATCTCTCATTTATTTGAATAGAAAAATTTTCAATACCGTTTCTTAATATTTATATTAATGTTTTTTAAGAGTTAATTATCGAAATAATCCATTGACTATATATAATAAAATTATCAATTTGTAATTGACTATATTTTTGGCTAATTAAATCTTCAACTTTAAAAATCGTAACTAATGTAGTCCTCCGTTTGTTTAGTCGTCAAACGTTGATTTATTCAAGACCAAATTAGTAATTTCATTTGAGACTAAAACGGTAAAACCTATGATTTGGAAGTTGATTTATAAGAAAAATTTCTAGTTCGATCACATGCCACACTCTTCCCACCTACTACGAAATACAAAATTGAAACCAGGCGTGATCCTTTCCCTCCTTCATGCGATGAGCATGAATTCAACCCCCAAGATCATCGCTCTGAAAACAATTAAAGCTTTAAAATAAAAAATAATGAAAAATAGTTTGATAGAGACCTATTGAATTACGTTCTTGAAATTTTTTGAGAAAGAACATATTTTGCAATGTCGGTACATTGTTAGCCCATTCTGATATTCGTCCCAAGATCATGATCCGATCCATGAGATGGTTTTACAAGAGTCCAATCTGGAAACATTGTCAGTCCTGTCTGGCCAGGCCACCAGGGGCTTGCGCACACGGGCCCCAAATTTTGGGGGCCCCGAATATTATGGAGTATATATGTACACACATAATGTGGTGGCTGTGCCCCCAAATTTTGGGTGCACTTTTATTTTAAAAAAAATATTATTGTATATTTATATTTTATGTATAAAGAAATCAAGACGGTCTAAAATTTAAAAAGTTTGCATTCCTAATTCCTAAGGACTTTATTTCTATACGTATAGAGTCATAGTCCTATAACTTATCGGAATTGAGGCGGACCTATTTGACTATTGTAAAATTATTATAGAGTTAATAACCAAAATGATCACTCGACCATGTCATAATTACCAATTTAGTCCCCGACTATCATTCTTACCCAATTAAATCCTCAACTATACAATATATACCTAATTTAGTCCTCTGTTAATGTATCTGTTAGTGGGCTGTTAATAACGAGGTCAAAACTGTCATTTTATCACTTTCTTCAATCTCCTTCATCACAGCACTATCAGAAACATTAGAGAGGCCTAATAGCTCTGTCATCTCTGCCACAATCTCCCTAAACTCTAACCCAAGAATTTCCCTTTCCTTCTCCTTCATAGTTTGTCTAATTTCTCGGTGCCTGAGATCATAAACAGAGTCTAGAGTGGAATTGCTAAGCATTTCGCGGATTCCTCAACATCCTCCATTCCGGTTCATTCCCTTCCCACAATAGGAACGACTCGGTTCGCACCTATATTTCTCGGCGCATTCGGAAAGGACATTAATGGTTGATATATCGTAGTTAAAAGACAAGGCAACATTATCTTTGGCCATTCTCAATAGAAGAATGGGCGCTTCCCTTCCCACAACAGCATTTTAGTTTTTTCTTTTTTTAATAATTTATAATACAATCATGTATTTCCGTCTCATACTTATACACAAATTAACAGAGGGAAATTCTTGGGTTAGAGTTTAGAGAGATTGTGGCAGAGATGATAGAGCTATTAGGCCTCTCTAATGTTCTGATAGTGGTGTGATGAAGGAGATGAAAGAAAGTGATAAATTAACAATTTTATCTTTATTATTGACAGCCTACTAACAGATACATTACCAGATGACTAAATTAGGTAAATATTGAATAGTTGATGACCTAATTGGGTAAGAATGGTAGTCGATGACTAAATTGGTAATTACGACATAGTCGAGGAACCATTTTGGTTATTAACATATTATTATGTATATAAAGAGTCAAAAATTACTCATTGGAATGGTCTTAGCTCCCGAATATTCAGACAATAAAAGACAATAAAAAGAAAAACGGCAAAAAAAGATTGAGACAGTTATGAATTCACACGATTCCTTTATCCCCCTTACCTTTCATGATAAAGTGGCTAAACTCAGAAAAAACAAAAAAAAACTAGCATTGAAATCAATTTTTATTGACCAATTAGAATTCCCTCCCAAGATCTATAATTGCCTCAAAAAGGCTCTGTTTGGCCAAGCTTATTTAGGATCTTATAGCTTATTTTAAGCTATTAATAAGCTATAAGCTCTGTTTGGTAATGTTCCCAAAATAAGCTCATAGCTTAAAATAAGAGTTTATTTTGGAACGCTACTTGAAGTATCGTTTCAAAATAAGCTCCTAGCTTCCTAACTTTTTTTTTTTATATATATATATTTTTACATCTTTATCCTAATTATTTTAAAGAAATGACATAATTTACCCTTCACAATTAAAACCATTTTCACTTCTCCTTTATCCGCAACTTTCACTCCAATTATTATTATTATTATAATAATAATAATAATAATAATAATAATTATTATTATTATTATTATTATTATTATTATTATTATTATTATTATTATATTTGCAACAATATTGCTACTTCATTATGAGATGCTAGGTCATGATTATGCTAATAGTTTTATTTAAAAATGTAAATTTTTTTTAAAGACAAAATGTTAAATTTTAATATGTGACAGGATAATAGGGCTGGCACCCGACCCGGATCACAAATGAGCATCTGACTCAGCATCACATGGGAACCCAACGGGCAGAACTCCAACGGTTAGAATCCAACAGGTGTCACATTTATTGTCATTGAAGCCACATTTGATGCCACCATTGATGAGAGAGAGTTAAAGCCTCAACGCCTCATTCATGACTCTTCATATTCTTGCCGTTAGCTCAGCTCCCCAAAGATGTCTGTTCATGTTGTTACCGTTAGGACCTAGCATAAATAGAACTTCCCTCAGCTGAGCAGGGGACACACTGTACTTTCTATACTGAGACAAGAACTAGAGCAATACCACTATTGTCTCTCTGACACATCGCTATTAGATTATCGTTATTATTATTTACCGGTAACGTTATTACCGTCATTGGTGCTTTCATTGAGAGCCTGAGTCCAATACTCAAGCAGGCTACAACACAACTTTTTTTTCTCTTTCAACAGCAAGCTTGAAAGAATGGCGTCCCGCAGCTCCCACAGTTCTCGCAACGTGAACAATGGCAACGCCTCAGGTGACCTCCGTGACCTACTCACAAACAATCGCGGAGGGGACCTCTAAGAACATCTCAACAACGGGAGGCCCGG